GTAACATTTCAGGGAGGACTATGGGAGGGACTGTGGGAGGGACTGTGGGAGGGAGGTAACATTTCAGGGAGGACTGTGGGAGGGAGGTAACAGTCCAGGGAGGACTGTGGGAGGGAGGTAACATTTCAGGGAGGACTGTGGGAGGGAGGTAACAGTTCAGGGAGGACTGTGGGAGGGACTGTGGGAGGGAGGTAACAGTCCAGAGAGGACTGTGGGAGGGACTGTGGGAGGGACTGTGGGAGGGACTGTGGGAGGGAGGTAACAGTCCAGGGAGGACTGTGGGAGGGAGGTAACATTTCAGGGAAGACTGTGGGAGGGACTGTGGGAGGGAGGTAACAGTCCAGGGAGGGACTGTGGGAGGGAGGTAACATTTCAGGGAAGACTGTGGGAGGGACTGTGGGAGGAAGGTAACAGTCCAGGGAGGACTGTGGGAGGGAGGTAACAGTCCAGGGAGGACTGTGGGAGGGACTGTGGGAGGGAGGTAACAGTACAGGGAGGACTGTGGGGGGAAGGTAACAGTCCAGGGAGGACTGTGGGAGGGAGGTAACAGTCCAGGGAGGTCTGTGGGAGGGAGGTAACAGTCCAGGGAAGACTGTTGGAGGGACTGTGGGTGGGAGGTAACAGTTCAGGGAGGACTGTGGGAGGGAGGTAACAGTCCAGGGAGGACTGTGGGAGGAACTGTGGGAGGGAGGTAACAGTACAGGGAGGACTGTGGGAGGAAGGTAACAGTCCAGGGAGGACTGTGGGAGGGAGGTAACAGTCCAGGGAGGACTGTGGGAGGGAGGTAACAGTCCAGGGATGACTGTGGGAGGGACTGTGGGAGGGAGGTAACAGTTCAGGGAGGACTGTGGGAGGGAGGTAACAGTCCAGGGAGGACTGTGGGAGGGACTGTGGGAGGAAGGTAACAGTTCAGGGAGGACTGTGGGAGGAAGGTAACAGTTCAGGGAGGACTGTGGGAGGGAGGTAACAGTTCAGGGAGGACTGTGGGAGGGAGGTAACAGTCCAGGGAGGACTGTGGGAGGGACTGTGGGAGGGAGGTAGCAGTCCAGGGAGGACTGTGGGAAGGACTGTGGGAGGGAGGTAACAGTTCAGGGAGGACTGTGGGAGGGACTGTGGGAGGAAGGTAACAGTCCAGGGAAGACTGTTGGAGGGAGGTAACAGTCCAGGGAGGACTGTGGGAGGGACTGTTGGGAAGGAGGTAATAGTCCAGGGAGGACTGTGGGAGGGACTGTGGGAGAGAGGTAACAGTCCAGGGAGGACTGTGGGAGGGACTGTGGGAGGGAGGTAACAGTCCAGGGAGGACTGTGGTAGGGACTGTGGGAGGGAGGTAACAGTCCAGGGAGGACTGTGGGAGGGAGGTAACAGTCCAGGGAGGACTGTGGGAGGGACTGTGGGAGGGAGGTAACAGTTCAGGGAGGACTGTGGGAGGGAGGTAACAGTTCAGGGAGGACTGTGGGAGGGAGGTAACAGTTCAGGGAGGACTGTGGGAGGGACTGTGGGAGGTAACAGTTCAGGGAGGACTGTGGGAGGGACTGTGGGAGGGAGGTAACAGTTCAGGGAGGACTGTGGGAGGGAGGTAACAGTTCAGGGAGGACTGTGGGAGGGACTGTGGGAGGGAGGTAACAGTTCAGGGAGGACTGTGGGAGGGACTGTGGGAGGGAGGTAACAGTTCAGGGAGGACTGTGGGAGGGAGGTAACAGTCCAGGGAGGACTGTGGGAGGGACTGTGGGAGGGAGGTAACAGTTCAGGGAGGACTGTGGGAGGGAGGTAACAGTTCAGGGAGGACTGTGGGAGGGAGGTAACAGTTCAGGGAGGACTGTGGGAGGGACTGTGGGAGGGAGGTAACATTTCAGGGAGGACTGTGGGAGGGAGGTAACATTTCAGGGAGGACTGTGGGAGGGAGGTAACAGTCCAGGGAGGACTGTGGGAGGGACTGTGGGAGGGAGGTAACAGTTCAGGGAGGACTGTGGGAGGGACTGTGGGAGGGAGGTAACAGTCCAGGGAGGACTGTGGGAGGGACTGTGGGAGGGACTGTGGGAGGGACTGTGGGAGGGAGGTAACATTTCAGGGAGGACTGTGGGAGGGACTGTGGGAGGGAGGTAACAGTCCAGGGAGGACTGTGGGAGGGACTGTGGGAGGGACTGTGGGAGGGACTGTGGGAGGGAGGTAACATTTCAGGGAGGACTGTGGGAGGGACTGTGGGAGGGACTGTGGGAGGGAGGTAACATTTCAGGGAGGACTGTGGGAGGGAGGTAACAGTCCAGGGAGGACTGTGGGAGGGAGGTAACATTTCAGGGAGGACTATGGGAGGGACTGTGGGAGGGACTGTGGGAGGGAGGTAACATTTCAGGGAGGACTGTGGGAGGGAGGTAACAGTCCAGGGAGGACTGTGGGAGGGAGGTAACATTTCAGGGAGGACTGTGGGAGGGAGGTAACAGTTCAGGGAGGACTGTGGGAGGGACTGTGGGAGGGAGGTAACAGTCCAGGGAGGACTGTGGGAGGGACTGTGGGAGGGACTGTGGGAGGGACTGTGGGAGGGAGGTAACAGTCCAGGGAGGACTGTGGGAGGGAGGTAACATTTCAGGGAAGACTGTGGGAGGGACTGTGGGAGGGAGGTAACAGTCCAGGGAGGACTGTGGGAGGGAGGTAACATTTCAGTGAGGACTGTGGGAGGGACTGTGGGAGGAAGGTAACAGTCCAGGGAGGACTGTGGGAGGGAGGTAACAGTCCAGGGAGGACTGTGGGAGGGACTGTGGGAGGGAGGTAACAGTACAGGGAGGACTGTGGGGGGAAGGTAACAGTCCAGGGAGGACTGTGGGAGGGAGGTAACAGTCCAGGGAGGTCTGTGGGAGGGAGGTAACAGTCCAGGGATGACTGTGGGAGGGACTGTGGGAGGGAGGTAACAGTTCAGGGAGGACTGTGGGAGGGAGGTAACAGTCCAGGGAGGACTGTGGGAGGAACTGTGGGAGGGAGGTAACAGTTCAGGGAGGACTGTGGGAGGGAGGTAACAGTCCAGGGAGGACTGTGGGAGGGAGGTAACAGTCCAGGGAGGACTGTGGGAGGGAGGTAACAGTCCAGGGAGGACTGTGGGAGGGACTGTGGGAGGGAGGTAACAGTCCAGGGAGGACTGTGGGAGGGAGGTAACAGTCCAGGGAGGACTGTGGGAGGGACTGTGGGAGGAAGGTAACAGTTCAGGGAGGACTGTGGGAGGGAGGTAACAGTCCAGGGAGGACTGTGGGAGGGAGGTAACAGTTCAGGGAGGACTGTGGGAGGGAGGTAACAGTCCAGGGAGGACTGTGGGAGGGACTGTGGGAGGGAGGTAACAGTCCAGGGAGGACTGTGGGAGGGACTGTGGGAGGGAGGTAACAGTCCAGGGAGGACTGTGGGAGGGACTGTGGGAGGAAGGTAACAGTCCAGGGAGGACTGTGGGAGGGAGGTAACAGTCCAGGGAGGACTGTGGGAGGGACTGTTGGGAAGGAGGTAATAGTCCAGGGAGGACTGTGGGAGGGACTGTGGGAGGGAGGTAACAGTCCAGGGAGGACTGTGGGAGGGACTGTGGGAGGGAGGTAACAGTCCAGGGAGGACTGTGGTAGGGACTGTGGGAGGGAGGTAACAGTCCAGGGAGGACTGTGGGAGGGAGGTAACAGTCCAGGGAGGACTGTGGGAGGGAGGTAACAGTCCAGGGCGGACTGTGGGAGGGAGGTAACAGTCCAGGGAGGACTGTGGGAGGGAGGTAACAGTCCAGGGAGGACTGTGGGAGGGAGGTAACAGTCCAGGGAGGACTGTGGGAGGGACTGTGGGAGGGAGGTAACAATCCAGGGAGGACTGTGGGAGGGACTGTGGGAGGGAGGTAACAGTCCAGGGAGGACTGTGGGTGTGAGGTAACAGTCCAGGAAGGACTGTGGGAGGGAGGTAACAGTCCAGGGAGGACTGTGGGAGGGAGGTAACAGTCCAGGGAGGACTGTGGGAGGGACTGTGGGAGGGAGGTAACAGTCCAGGGAGGACTGTGGGAGGGAGGTAACAGTCCAGGGATGACTGTGGGAGGGACTGTGGGAGGGAGATAACAGTCCAGGGAGGACTGTGGGAGGGAGGTAACAGTACAGGGATTACTGTGGGAGGGAGATAACAGTCCAGGGAGGACTGTGGGAGGGAGGTAACAGTCCAGGGATGACTGTTGGAGGGACTGTGGGAGGAAGGTAACAGTCCAGGGATTACTGTGGGAGGGACTGTGGGAGGGAGATAACAGTCCAGGGAGGACTGTGGGAGGGAGGTAACAGTCCAGGGATGACTGTTGGAGGGACTGTGGGAGGGAGGTAACAGTCCAGGGAGGACTGTGGGAGGGAGGTAACAGTCCAGGGATGACTGTGGGAGGGACTGTGGGAGGGAGGTAACAGTTCAGGGAGGACTGTGGGAGGGAGGTAACAGTCCAGGGAGAACTGTGGGAGGGAGGTAACAGTCCAGGGAGGTCTGTGGGAGGGAGGTAACAGTCCAGGGAGGACTGTGGGAGGGAGGTAACAGTCCAGGGAGGACTGTGGGTGGGAGGTAACAGTCCAGGGAGGACTGTGGGTGGGAGAACTGTGGGAGGGACTGTGGGAGGGAGGTAACAGTCCAGGGAGGACTGTGGGAGGGAGGTAACAGTTCAGGGAGGACTGTGGGAGGGAGGTAACAGTCCAGGGCGGACTGTGGGTGGGAGGTAACAGTTCAGAGAGGACTGTGGGAGGGAGGTAACAGTTCAGGGAGGACTGTGGGAGGGAGGTAACAGTCCAGGGAGGACTGTGGGAGGGAGGTAACAGTCCAGGGAGGACTGTGGGAGGGAGGTAACAGTTCAGGGAGAACTGTGGGAGGGAGGTAACAGTCCACTTCACTAAACGTGTCAAACTATGGTCTTCCTTCTTACATTGTGATGCATCCGGGCATCAATGTCACCGCGGCCCAGTTTCTGGGCAGGCCTCCTGCTTGGTATAGTCTGGCCAACGAGGCTGGTAGACGCCGCTGCTGACCTGACTGACCCATGTTACCTCCACTTCCTGGGTTCGAATCCCGGCTCCTTAAATCACTCAAGCTCTGCAGGCTCTGCAGAGCTTGAGCGTGCAGGGCTGAGGACACAGCGTGCAGGGCTGAGGACACAGCGTGCAGGGCTGAGGACACCTCGTGCAGGGCTGAGGACACAGCGTGCAGGGCTGAGGACACCTCGTGCAGGGCTGAGGACACAGCGTGCAGGGCTGAGGACACAGCGTGCAGGGCTGAGGACACAGCGTGCAGGGCTGAGGACACCTCGTGCAGGGCTGAGGACACCTCGTGCAGGGCTGAGGACACAGCGTGCAGGGCTGAGGACACAGCGTGCAGGGCTGAGGACACAGCGTGCAGGGCTGAGGACACCTCGTGCAGGGCTGAGGACACAGCGTGCAGGGCTGAGGACACCTCGTGCAGGGCTGACACCTCGTGCAGGGCTGAGGACACCTCGTGCAGGGCTGAGGACACCTCGTGCAGGGCTGAGGACACAGCGTGCAGGGCTGAGGACACAGCGTGCAGGGCTGAGGACACAGCGTGCAGGGCTGAGGACACCTCGTGCAGGGCTGAGGACACAGCGTGCAGGGCTGAGGACACCTCGTGCAGGGCTGACACCTCGTGCAGGGCTGAGGACACCTCGTGCAGGGCTGAGGACACAGCGTGCAGGGCTGAGGACACAGCGTGCAGGGCTGAGGACACCTCGTGCAGGGCTGACACCTCGTGCAAGGCACCGCTCAGCAAGCACACGCCTCAAGCGGCAGTGAATGACACAAGTCAGTGACCTCCGAGGAGGCACCGCGCGCTGACTTGTGGGTGTGACCGGCCAGTGACCTTCACGATGTGTCCTCAGCCCTGCACGCTGTGTCCTCAGCCCTGCACGCTGTGTCCTCAGCCCTGCACGCTGTGTCCTCAGCCCTGCACGCTGTGTCCTCAGCCCTGCACGCTGTGTCCTCAGCCCTGCACGCTGTGTCCTCAGCCCTGCACGAGGTGTCCTCAGCCCTGCACGAGGTGTCCTCAGCCCTGCACGCTGTGTCCTCAGCCCTGCACGCTGTGTCCTCAGCCCTGCACGAGGTGTCCTCAGCCCTGCACGAGGTGTCCTCAGCCCTGCACGAGGTGTCCTCACCCCTGCACGCTGTGTCCTCAGCCCTGCACGAGGTGTCCTCAGCCCTGCACGAGGTGTCCTCAGCCCTGCACGAGGTGTCCTCAGCCCTGCACGAGGTGTCCTCAGCCCTGCACGAGGTGTCCTCACCCCTGCACGCTGTGTCCTCAGCCCTGCACGAGGTGTCCTTAGCCCTGCACGAGGTGTCCTCAGCCCTGCACGAGGTGTCCTCAGCCCTGCACGAGGTGTCCTCAACCCTGCACGAGGTGTCCTCAACCCTGCACGAGGTGTCCTCAGCCCTCCTCCGAGGTCACTGACTTGTGACATTCACTGCCTCTTGAGGCGTGTGCTTGCTGAGCGGGGTGGGCTTGCTGAGCGGGGTGTACTTGCTGAGCGGGGTGGGCTTGCTGAGCGGGGTGTACTTGCTGAGCGGGGTGGGCTTGCTGAGCGGGGTGGGTTTGCTGAGCGGTGTGTGCTTGCTGAGCGGTGTGGGCTTGCTGAGCCGGGTGAGCTTGCTGATCGGGGTGTGCTTGCTGAGCGGTGTGGGCTTGCTGAGCGGGTGAGCTTGCTGATCGGGGTGGGCTTGCTGAGCGGTGTGTGTTTGCTGAGCGGTGTGTGCTTGCTGGGCGGTGTGTGCTTGCTAAGCGGTATGTGCTTGCTGAGTGGTGTGGGCTTGCTGAACGCGGTGTGCTTGCTGAGCGGGGTGTGCCTGCTGAGCGGGGTGTGCTTGCTGAGCGGGGTGGGCGTGCTGAGTGGGGTGTGCTTGCTGAGCGGTGTGGGCGTGCTGAGCGGAGTGGGCGTTCTAAAGATGGCACAGTTCGCAGCAAGCTTGCGGGAGGTAGAGAGGCTGCAGAATTAGGGTGAGGGTGTGGTGAGCTGTGTTGCTGGCAGAGAGTGAGCCACTGATGGCGTCCCTGGCTAGTGGTCCTGGTGTGGCACTCTGGCACCTGACGTCAACATGGCACTGGCACAGTGTGGAGAGCAGCTTGGCCTACTCCGACAAGCTTTAGGGCGGAGCACATTGTTGGTGGTAGATAGGTAAGAGGACGGCGCACTTCCCTCCGCTGCCTTCCCTCTCCCTCCTTGCCCAGGTGAGGCACTGTAGCCGGCGCGGCCGGATGGGCATCCCCTGGTGAGTGAGGGGAAGATCCTTCCTGGTTAATAACTCTCATGCGAATTATAGTAACAATGTATGGTGGGAGGGATGAATATATTGAGATGGGTGGAGATAGTGTGTGGTGGCGGGTGTGCGAGCAGCGTGCGCAGGCCGGCTGGAGCAGCAGCAGCAGCAGCAGCAGGGCTGGGCAGGGGGTGGCGGCCCGGCGGCTGACAGTTCACTGAGAGCCCACCTCGCGCCCACCCTCTTGCTTGTTGCAGCTGCGGCTCCTGTTCTTGGCCCCCGGCGTCCGGGTGTGTACTGGTCAGCTGGGCTCTCTCCCTGGCACGGCAGCTGGCCTGTGTAAGGGTCTGGTGCAGCCTGTGACATGTGCCGACGTAGTCTGAGTGCCGCCGTAGTCTGAGTGCCGCTGTAGCGCGCTTGTAGCCCCCGGGGCGGCGGGCTAGCTAGTTTAGTGGGGCCACCCTCACACTCCCCGGTGTGTGTGTATAATGAGTGCCTCGCGCGATAACGCTACGCTCATCACTGATAACAAACACGCACTGGAGGCCAGCTGGCTGGACCATTAGTGTCCGGAGGTCCAGGTGCCGGCCTCAGGAGAGATCTCACCATCCGGCCTCGGGAGTGCCATCACCATCCGGCCTTGGGAGTGCCGAAACCAACCGGTTTCAGCCTCCGCGGGAAGCAGTGCGTGGGTGATTGTGGAGCTGCTCTCCCCCCCACAACACACCAGGAATGATGAGTTAACGTGCACTTGGTGTTGTGGTGACCGACCACGCCCTGGAGTCCTCACTTGTTCAACATGTGTCTGGTGAGTACCTCCACACCTGCTCTCTCTCTCCCTCTCTCTCACACCATACTCATCCCTGGCTGTCTCACCCACCCTCCATACTCGCTGACTGTCTTACCCACCCTCCATACTCGCTGACTGTCTTACCCACCCTCCATACTCGCTGTCTTACCCACCCTCCATACTCCCTGACTGTCATACCCACCCTCCATACTCCCTGACTGTCTTACCCACCCTCCATACTCGCTGTCTTACCCACCCTCCATACTCGCTGTCTGTCTTACCCACCCTCCATACTCCCTGACTGTCTTACCCACCCTCCATACTCGCTGTCTTACCCACCCTCCATACTCCCTGACTGTCATACCCACCCTCCATACTCCCTGACTGTCTTACCCACCCTCCATACTCGCTGTCTTACCCACCCTCCATACTCCCTGACTGTCTTACCCACCCTCCATACTCGCTGTCTTACCCACCCTCCATACTCCCTGACTGTCATACCCACCCTCCATACTCCCTGACTGTCTTACCCACCCTCCATACTCGCTGTCTTACCCACCCTCCATACTCGCTGTCTGTCTTACCCACCCTCCATACTCCCTGACTGTCTTACCCACCCTCCATACTCGCTGTCTTACCCACCCTCCATACTCCCTGACTGTCATACCCACCCTCCATACTCGATGTTTTACCCACCCTCCATACTCGCTGACTGTCTTACCCACCCTCCATACTCATTGACTGTCTTACCCACCCTCCATACTCACTGTCTCACTCACCCTCCATACACGCTGTCTTACCCACCCTCCATACTCGCTGTCTTACCCACCCTCCATATTCCCTGGCTGTCTTACCCACCCTCCATACTCCCTGACTGTCTTACCCACCCTCCATACTCCCTGACTGTCTTACCCACCCTCCATACTCCCTGACTGTCTTACCCACCCTCCATACTCACTGACTGTCTTACCCACCCTCCATACTCACTGACTGTCTTACCCACCCTCCATACTCCCTGACTGTCTAACCCACCCTCCATACTCCCTGACTGTCTTACCCACCCTCCATACTCACTGACTGTCTTACCCACCCTCCATACTCGCTGACTGTCTTACCCACCCTCCATACTCACTGTCTTACCCACCCTCCATACTCCCTGACTGTCTTACCCACCCTCCATACTCACTGACTGTCTTACCCACCCTCCATACTCGCTGACTGTCTTACCCACCCTCCATACTCACTGACTGTCTTACCCACCCTCCATACTCCCTGACTGTCTTACCCACCCTCCATACTCCCTGACTGTCTTACCCACCCTCCATACTCACTGACTGTCTTACCCACCCTCCATACTCGCTGTCTTACCCACCCTCCATACTCCCTGACTGTCTTACCCACCCTCCATACTCAGTGTCTTACCCACCCTCCATACTCGCTGTCTTACCCACCCTCCATACTCGCTGTTTTACCCACCCTCCATACTCACTGTCTGTCTTACCCACCCTCCATACTCGCTGTCTTACCCACCCTCCATACTCGCTGTCTTACCCACCCTCCATACTCACTGTCTGTCTTACCCACCCTCCATACTCACTGTCTTACCCACCCTCCATACTCACTGTCTGTCTAACCCACCCTCCATACTCGCTGTCTGTCTTACCCACCCTCCATACTCGCTGTTTTACCCACCCTCCATACTCACTGTCTGTCTAACCCACCCTCCATACTCACTGTCTGTCTTACCCACCCTCCATACTCACTGTCTGTCTTACCCACCCTCCATACTCGCTGTCTGTCTTACCCACCCTCCATACTCCCTGACTGTCTTACCCACCCTCCATATTCGCTGTCTTACCCACGCTCCATACTCCCTGGCTGTCTTACCCACCCTCCATACTCGCTGTCTTACCCACCCTCCATACTCACTGTCTTACCCACCCTCCATACTCACTGTCTTACCCACCCTCCATACTCGCTGTCTTACCCACCCTCCATACTCCCTGACTGTCTTACCCACCCTCCATACTCCCTGACTGTCATACCCACCCTCCATACTCGCTGTCTTACCCACCCTCCATACTCCCTGGCTGTCTTACCCACCCTCCATACTCGCTGTCTTACCCACCCTCCATACTCACTGTTTTACCCACCCTCCATACTCACTGTCTGTCTTACCCACCCTCCATACTCACTGTCTTACCCACCCTCCATACTCCCTGACTGTCTTACCCACCCTCCATACTCGCTGTCTGTCTTACCCACCCTCCATACTCGCTGTCTGTCTTACCCACCCTCCATACTCGCTGTCTTACCCACCCTCCATACTCCCTGGCTGTCTTACCCACCCTCCATACTCCCTGACTGTCTTACCCACCCTCCATACTCCCTGACTGTCTTACCCACCCTCCATACTCCCTGACTGTCTTACCCACCCTCCATACTCACTGACTGTCTTACCCACCCTCCATACTCACTGACTGTCTTACCCACCCTCCATACTCCCTGACTGTCTAACCCACCCTCCATACTCCCTGACTGTCTTACCCACCCTCCATACTCACTGACTGTCTTACCCACCCTCCATACTCGCTGACTGTCTTACCCACCCTCCATACTCACTGTCTTATCCACCCTCCATACTCCCTGACTGTCTTACCCACCCTCCATACTCACTGACTGTCTTACCCACCCTCCATACTCGCTGTCTTACCCACCCTCCATACTCCCTGACTGTCTTACCCACCCTCCATACTCACTGTCTTATCCACCCTCCATACTCCCTGACTGTCTTACCCACCCTCCATACTCACTGACTGTCTTACCCACCCTCCATACTCGCTGTTTTACCCACCCTCCATACTCAGTGTCTTACCCACCCTCCATACTCGCTGTCTTACCCACCCTCCATACTCACTGACTGTCTTACCCACCCTCCATACTCGCTGTCTTACCCACCCTCCATACTCCCTGACTGTCTTACCCACCCTCCATACTCCCTGACTGTCTTACCCACCCTCCATACTCGCTGTTTTACCCACCCTCCATACTCACTGTTTTACCCACCCTCCATACTCGCTGACTGTCTTACCCACCCTCCATACTCACTGTCTTACCCACCCTCCATACTCACTGTCTTACCCACCCTCCATACTCGCTGACTGTCTTACCCACCCTCCATACTCGCTGTCTTACCCACCCTCCATACTCACTGTCTTACCCACCCTCCATACTCCCTGACTGTCTTACCCACCCTCCATACTCACTGACTGTCTTACCCACCCTCCATACTCGCTGACTGTCTTACCCACCCTCCATACTCAGTGTCTTACCCACCCTCCATACTCGCTGTCTTACCCACCCTCCATACTCACTGTCTGTCTTACCCACCCTCCATACTCGCTGTTTTACCCACCCTCCATACTCACTGTCTGTCTTACCCACCCTCCATACTCGCTGTCTGTCTTACCCACCCTCCATACTCCCTGACTGTCTTACCCACCCTCCATATTCGCTGTCTTACCCACGCTCCATACTCCCTGGCTGTCTTACCCACCCTCCATACTCGCTGTCTTACCCACCCTCCATACTCACTGTCTTACCCACCCTCCATACTCACTGTCTTACCCACCCTCCATACTCGCTGTCTTACCCACCCTCCATACTCCCTGACTGTCTTACCCACCCTCCATACTCCCTGACTGTCATACCCACCCTCCATACTCGCTGTCTTACCCACCCTCCATACTCCCTGGCTGTCTTACCCACCCTCCATACTCGCTGTCTTACCCACCCTCCATACTCACTGTCTTACCCACCCTCCATACTCACTGTCTGTCTTACCCATCCTCCATACTCACTGTCTTACCCACCCTCCATACTCCCTGACTGTCTTACCCACCCTCCATACTCGCTGTCTGTCTTACCCACCCTCCATACTCGCTGTCTGTCTTACCCACCCTCCATACTCGCTGTCTTACCCACCCTCCATACTCACTGTCTGTCTTACCCACCCTCCATACTCACTGTCTGTCTTACCCACCCTCCATACTCACTGTCTGTCTTACCCACCCTCCATACTCCCTGATTGTATTACCCACCCTCCATACTCACTGACTGTCTTACCCACCCTCCATACTCGCTGACTGTCTTACCCACCCTCCATACTCGCTGTCTTACCCACCCTCCATACTCACTGTCTGTCTTACCCACCCTCCATACTCACTGTCTGTCTTACCCACCCTCCATACTCACTGTCTGTCTTACCCACCCTCCATACTCACTGTCTGTCTTACCCACCCTCCATACTCACTGACTGTCTTACCCACCCTCCATACTCACTGACTGTCTTACCCACCCTCCATACTCGCTGTCTTACCCACCCTCCATACTCCCTGACTGTCTTACCCACCCTCCATACTCGCTGTCTTACCCACCCTCCATACTCACTGTCTGTCTTACCCACCCTCCATACTCACTGTCTGTCTTACCCACCCTCCATACTCACTGTCTGTCTAACCCACCCTCTATACTCACTGACTGTCTTACCCACCCTCCATACTCGCTGACTGTCTTACCCACCCTCCATACTCGCTGTCTTACCCACCCTCCATACTCACTGTCTGTCTTACCCACCCTCCATACTCACTCCCTGTCTTACCCACCCTCCATACTCACTGCCTGTCTTACCCACCCTCCATACTCGCTGTCTTACCCACCCTCCATACTCCCTGTCTTACCCACCCTCCATACTCGCTGTCTGTCTTACCCACCCTCCATACTCCCTGTCTTACCCACCCTCCATACTCACTGACTGTCTTACCCACCCTCCATACTCACTGACTGTCTTACCCACCCTCCATACTCACTGTCTTACCCACCCTCCATACTCCCTGTCTTACCCACCCTCCATACTCGCTGTCTGTCTTACCCACCCTCCATACTCCCTGACTGTCTTACCCACCCTCCATACTCACTGACTGTCTTAACGACCCTCCATACTCCCTGTCTTACCCACC